TAAGTTTGGCCTGGAACCCACTGCTATTACAAATCTTCCTGAAAGTGTGAATAGAAATGATTGAAAGAGCAGACCCAGTGTCCAGTTCCATAACCAATGGAACTCCTTGTAACCTCACCTTAAGTGACAGTTTCTTCTTAAGTGGTTTGTGTGTGCCTGTTCTACAAATACTTCTGCATGATGCGCAGAAACCCACCCTGTTTTGGCTGGGGACTCTGGTACCTTTTAGACGCAATTCTTCTCGAGGTTGTGCCTTCTGACGGCCCAGACAAACAGATGCTATGTGGCCTTGCCTTCCACACGCTGTACAGATTGCAGAGCGGAACCTGCAGTCGGCCCTGTTGTGGCGACCTTCACACCCGAAGCACTTGGACACAGCTGGAGCATTTTCTTTGCCTTCTCTCTGCTTCCTTTCTTTGGGTGGGTAGAGATGATCCACCTCATCTTCAGGATCTTCCTCCGAGCTCTCTTGGACTCCCTCATGGTGCACGGAGACTGCTTCTGGGTTGTTCCTGATGGGCCTCATGTTCTTGACCGCCCCACCTGCTGCCTCCTCTGCAGTGACCTCTCTCAAGGCATCTTGGAAAGAAATGTCTTCTTTTGCAAAGAGTCTCTGTTGCAAATCTCTGTTCCTTAACCCGCATACAAATCGGTCTCTCAGCCTTTCTTCTAAATCTTTAAACTCACAAGGCTTAGCTACTCTTCTCAAAGCTGCAATGTATTCTTTGGCTGATTCACCAACTCTTTGATCCCTCTGTTCAAACGTGTGCCTCCACGCAATGACAGACAACTTGGGCTGAAAATATTCCTTCAATAACTTTTTTAAATCTGTATAAGTGACAGACTCAAAAGGAGCAGGGGCTTCCAAATTTTCTGCAATCTCAAATACATCTTGACCACAGACACACAGCAAAGTAGCGGCCTTCAAGCCATCTTCTCTAACTTGATTCACTCTAAAGTAATTTTCTACTCTAGCGACATAAGACTCCCATCTTTCTGGGTGAGTAACATCGAATTCAGACAATCTCCCTATCTTCGCCATCCTTGCTTCTTATTCTAGGAAGGGGTCTATACAGCCAGCTTACCTCCAGCGACGCTGTACTGGCAGGCCAGATGCTGAGTTTAATGTCATCTTCCTTTTCTCCAGGACTCCTTGGGTAAGCCTTACAAGTCTTCTTTCTTTATCTTGTAAGCGATCCCATCCTCGTCGCCAGTGTTGAGTCCTCGAGTCAATGGCAAAAGAAGAGCACACATTCTGATAGTTGTAACAGCCTTTATTCTCTTCAGCTCTCTCCGACACAACTCAGAGGCTCGCAGGCCTCTCTGCCTCTAAATAAAATCCCCGGGCAAAAAGGTAACAAAGAATGGCGCGCTTTCGCGCCTTGCGCATGTGCGCAGGCTGGTGCCACTCAGTCTGGTCCCGGGCAGCTTGCAACAGCCCAGGACCATTGCAACATCCCGAGCCTGCTTTTGCAGGCTCAGGACACAACAGTCTGGATTTTGATCACGTGACTGTGAGGATGCTACAACAGTCACAAGTGTGAAAAACAATCATCACTTTTTTCAGAGCCATTGTAACTTCGAGTGGTCACCAAATGAACTGTTTAGTGACCAATACAGGTAGTCCTTGACTTAAACAGTTTGTTTAAGCCAGGGGTAGGCAACCTTGGCTCTTTTATGACTTGTGAACTTCAACTCCCATAAAAGAGCCAAGGTTGCCTATCCCTGGTTTAAGCAATCCCAACCACACCACCTATTTGCTCTTCTTGCTGGCATTAATAAGAACTAGTCCAAATTATACAGATGGTTTTGCTCCATCCAAATTAGTTAACTCATTTTTTCCTCTGAGGATGCAAGGAAAAGAATCTGAGAGGGTGAATCAATTTGTTTTTCTTAATAAACACCCTGAGATAGAAGTTGTACCATAGCTTGATAATTAGCACTGTCTCAGCTTTTTGTTTGGTTTTTTGTTGTTATTTTAATGATATTCCTATCTGAGCTTGAAAGCAATAAAGTGGTTTCCTGTTAGCTCTCCAAAGGAAAGAGAAGCATTAGAGTATTTTCCCAGAAAGAGTGAATGAATGTTTTAGGATGAAAATTTTTTAGCTTATGCTAGCATACTTCAGGTGCAATCTAGGATTACTGCCTAATTTGCTTGCTGAGGGGAGCTTTGACTTAATTAAGTGCTGATTTGCTCTAATTCAAAGTAATGAAAGGCCAGGAGGCAACATGGAGTTATACTGGAGATATGAACACCATCAACCATTCCATCCCATCCTTCTTTAAAGTAAGTTGCTTCCCTTCAGTCTATAATCCGCAAGAATGCTAAGTAGGGGAAGGTTTAGCTTTGGAGGAAGGGAGTGGCACCCCTATCTTACAGGTTTTTAAATTTTGTTTTCTCAATAATTTCTGGATTTCTGCAAACTTCAAGAGGATTTCTGGGTTGGAGACATGGTGACGCAGTGGTTAGAATGCAGTAGTGCAGGCTAATTCTGCTGACTGCCAATTGCCAGCAATTCGGCAGTTCACCATCTCGAGTTTGACTCAGCCTTCCATCCTTCTGAGGTCAGTAAAATGAGGACCCAGATTGTTGGAGGCAATATGCTGACTCTGTAAACTGCTTAGAGATGGATGTAAAGCACCATGAAGCAGTATATAAGTCTAAGTCCTACTGCTATTGCTATTTGGGTGATGCCAACTGTAGCAAATTTGCTCCTAGCTGGATAAGATAAGATAACCTTTATTGACCTTTTTTACTATGCGCACACTAGTCCACATTAAAAATTACACCCATACATATATATACATATTAATTTTAATCACTGTCCATTTTGAATACATAGCGGAAAGAAGAAACTTGAGAGTTCATAGGGTCAATACTGTATGGAACAAAGCTGTGACTGAATCTGGATGTTCTGCTTTGGATACCACGAAGCCTCCTCCCAGAAGATAACAAAGAAAAGTCATGAAGAGAATGTGTAGCATCCTAGATAATCCCAGATAATCCAAAGCAGATAATCTGCTTTGGATACCACGAAGCCTCCTCCCAGAAGGTAACAAAGAAAACAGGTCATGAAGAGAATGTGTAGCGTCCCAGACAATCCTTGCTCAAGCATCACTTATATGCTATGTCCTGGATAGAAAGAAGTGAACTGTCAAAAATCTTTTCTACCATCCTCACCACTCTCTACACTGCCTTCCTGTATGAAGCAGTAATGCTTCCAAATCAGACAGTAATGCAATATGACAAGATGCTCTTGACTGTCTCTCTGTAGAAAGTGTTGAGGACTGAGGAAGAAAGATGTACTTTTCTCAGGCAACACAGAAAATGCAGGCACTCCTGTGCCCCTTTCACTAGTGTCTCACTGTTGAGCAACCAGTCTACTCATTAGCTGCACACACAGAAACTTGATGCTGCTAACCACCTCCACAGGTGAATCAGGGGTGTGTGGCTGTGCCTGCCTTTTCTGAAATCAACAATGACCATTGGATAGTTGAGTTTCGGGGCTGAGGAAACCCTGCTATTCTTTTAGCATGTTCAATCAGGAAAATATATTAGCCCTAGTCCAGTTGTATCCTACTGTACACACACATATGAGTCTCTTAAGGAGATACAGAAAATTAAAAATATACAAATACTGGTATAAGTGTCCAGCGACAGCCCTTAAGAGCAGTCAGGCGAGATAGTCCACTGGTGGTTGACTCTTGGTTGTTGATTTTGTTTGGGAAGCAGGAATACAGCATTGGGAAAATGGAAACGTGGGAGGCTGCCTTATATAAAATCAGCACACCAATCTTATTTATGAGCTCCTGTCAAACCTGGTTGGCAACTGCAATACCAGGTTTCTGGCAAGGCCCTCTCATGCTTACTTCAAGAGCCCAGAGGCTGAATTTGGAACTTTTTAAATAGAAAGTATGTACTGCTATACAAGTACAGCCCTTTCACACTCAGCAAACTTTTTATATTAAATTCAGCTATTCATCTAGTTCTCAGAAGTCCACTTTAGTCTTCCCTATATTCTTATAATTTTATGCGGGAGAAACCCGAATAACCAAAGACCGACCTACCTACCTACCTACCTACCTACCTACATACATACATACATACATACATACATACATACATACATACATATATGTGTGTGTGTGTGTGTGTGTGTGTGTGTGTGTGTGTGTGTGTGTAGGTCTTTGGTTGTTTGGGTTTTCTCCCGCGTAAAATTGGAAGTGTCTTGGCGACGTTTCGACGAAGTCCCATTCGTCATCTTCAGGCTGGTGTTTTCAGCTTCTGCTTACAACATTGCCCTTCAACTCAGAAAACTAAACATATTAAATTCAGCTATTCATCTAGTTCTCAGAAGTCGTCGTAGACAATAATTTTATGCGGGAGAAACCCGAAAACCAAAGAGACCTACCTACCTACCTACCACCTACCTACACACATACATACATACATACATACATATATATATACATATATATATATATATATTAAAAAAGATTTTAAAGGCTTTCGCTTTGGGAAAACTCCCCAACATCTTCAGGGGCGTCTAGACCCGTTTAAACCGTTTAGAAACGGTCTCTCAGCCCTGAAGATGTTGGGGAGTTTTCCCAACGAAAGCTTGGCAACCTTTTAATATAGTAAAATACTTTAATTAAATTATTTTAACTTTAAACTCTCCTGGTGAATGCGCTTTATTCATTCCATTTATAATTATGCCCGGGAGTCGCATTTTCACCATCATTATTGAATATATATATATATATATATATATATATATATATATATATATATATATATATCTTTCCATAGCACAGCTTCAGATGTTTTTTTTAAAAATCTCCCTCCAGCCCTTAGTTGTGCTAAAAAAATGTTTTTCTGGCTACATTTCCAACAGCAGGCAAATTTTTAAGGCACACCAGCCTTTTTAGAAGAAAATCAACTGTCTCCCCCATACCAGCACACTCACACACTCTCACACATTCTCAGCACATGATACAACCTTGTGATCTGCTGGCAGAGTTTTCAAGGCCACAATGAAGTCATGGGAAATCTTCCCAGCAGAGCAGATTCCCCAGCAGAGAGGCATGGAAGATTTTGGGTGTCTTGATGGCTAACAGAACAGATGTTTCTATTCAGCTTTTTCCCCCCCTCTGTGAAGAATCTGGATCAGCAGCTGCCTACTTTTAGGAACTGGTACTTTGAAAAAGGGGCAGGGTAGCTCTGGGGCTGGGAGACGCCCTGCGTGGCTGCTTCTCTCTGTGTTTGGGGTGGAGTACCAACCTGAATTTGCAGGGAGAATGTGTACATGGCAAAGATAGGAAACCCTACTTGAGTGAATTAAACTCATGGACCATTTGGCTTAGAGCTGCTTGCCTGTCTTGACTTTCAGAGCCCTGGAAGATGAGTTCTCTGGAGCTATCTCTGATCCAGTCAACCTCCTGGGGTCCATTTATGTAAGCATCCTCTCTGCTTCTTGGCAGTAGGATTGTCATCACAGCTAAAAGTTATGAACACAATTAGAATGTGATAAAGTGTCCCTTTGACCCCATAGCAGACACAGGGTCCTGGTTTTAGGGCTGGGCTCCCATTTCAGCCTAGCACTCTCGTATTCCCTACATTAAAAAGCTGCAAGGTGTGTTGGGAAGATAATGAGATGGAAATATATTTGGAGGGATAGCAGTTAAAGATGCTAATTGTAGACAGCATTTGTCTGGCTATTGATGCAATGGAAAGATTGGTCAATATTACGTTATGTGGCCAAAGTTTAAACATCAGGATTACTTTCTTTATACAATATGTTATGTATTTGTTCTTTTCCTTTTCCTGTTTTTCACTTGGTCTCTCTCTCTCTCTCTCTCTCTCTCTCTCTCTCTCTCTCTCTCTCTCTCTCTCTCTCTCTCTCTCTCTCTCTCTCTCCCTCTCTCCCTCTCTCCCTCCCTCCTTCCCTCTCTCCCTCTCTGTGATTTCAATTGGGAATTTTTTTGGTGTGTTAAATAAAAAATCAGTAGGCATACTGGTACAATACTACCTTGGGCTGCAAACATCAAGCCCATCATTAGATGTCAGCAGAGATTTTGTTTTTATGTGTGTGGGGGGGTATCTCTTTGCTGCCACTTACTGGTTATCTGAATTTCTGGAAACACTAATATCACAGAGGAGAGATTAAAAAGATCAGTGTTCACTGCCAACCATCATTCTGTAAGCTATGACACAGAGAGCAAAGTCTTCTTCTAAAAATGGTAGAAGGGTAAGACATTGATGATGATGATGATGATGATGATGATGATGATGATGATAATAATTGTAAGGGGCCTTGGAGGTCATCTAGTCCAACCCCCTACTCAGACCTTAGGAGACCTTATACCACTTCAGACAAATGGCTGTCCAGTCTCTTCTTAAAAATTTCCAGTGTTGGAGTATTCACAGTTTTTGGAGGCAGGTTGTTCTACTGATTAGAACAATTAACCCTAGCCTCCCCCGCATCCCCTGGCCTGCCACCCTTGCTGTCGGAGGCTGCCTCAGCCCTCTGGCGCCCGGTGCAGCCCTGGGACTGGCGGGCAAGAGCAGCTCCTTCCCGGCTCGCTGGGCTCCGGGCCTCGGAAGCGGCCAGGCGGCAGCGATGCCTATATGTGTGTTGGAGGCCAGCCGGCCAGGCCAGGAGGGGAGAAGCGGCGCCTTCCAAGCGGGAGCTGGCGCTCTGGCCATGCCCCTCGTGCATGCGACGAGTCGGGGACGGGTCGTGGCAGTGAAGGGCTGCGCAGCATGGAAAGGGGCTCCTGTGACCCCGCCGCTGCAATGGCGCTCAGGAGGCTGGAGGGGCAGGCAGGTCCTGGGGCGGCAGCTGGGAGAGGGCAAGAGCGGGGAATGCTGGGAGTTGCAGTTCATCACCATCTGGAAAAACATGACTTTCCAAAGATCAATCCTTCCTTCCTTCCTTCCTTCCATCCATCTCCTTCCCTTCTCCTTCAATCTCTCCTTCCTTCCTTCCTTCCTTCCTTCCTTTCCCTCTCAACCTTCTTCCTTCTCCATCTCCATCCCTTTCCCTTCAATCTCTCTCTTTCCTTCCTTCCTTCCTTCCTTCCTTCCTTCCTTCCTTCCTTCCTTCCTTCTTCCCCTTCAATCTCCTTCCTTCTCCATCTCCTTCCTTTCCCCTTCAATCTTCCTTTCCTTCCTTCCATCTCCATCTCCATCCCTTCCACTTCAATCTCTTTCTCCTTCCTTCCTTTCCCCTTCAATCTTCTTCCTTCTCCATCTCCTTCCTTTCCTCTTCAATCTTCCTTCCTTCCTTCCTTCCCCTTCCCTACCTCCCAACATTTTTGAGCAAGGAAGAGTAAGCTTCTCCAGCGAGCATTGCTATATTGTTTTTGTGATTAATCACTATGCTTTAATTATGTTCAATTCGTAACAATGAAAATACACCCTGCATATCAGATATTTACATTACGATTCATAACAGTAGCAAAATTACAGTTATGAAGTAACAATGAAAATAATTTTATGGTTGGGGGTCACCACAACATGAGGAACTGTATTAAAGGGTCGCGGCATTAGGAAGGTTGAGAACCACTGCTCTAGATTATGCTTTAGGGCAACCCGTGCACGGAGCTAGGATCAGTGAAGATAAACATCAAAAGGAAGCAAGGTTTGTCTAACAAACCACCTCTGTCCTGAAAACCAGTATTCTGAGATGCAAGTGTGGGGAGGACAATTTGGAGTCAAATGAGGTGGGCAGACTTTGGCACTCTGAATATGCCCTGAGGAAAGTTTCTCCTGTTTAACTTCATATGTGCCAGTGATGATTTCTGTAATTCAAAAAATATTCTAGGATTGATTCCAGAAGCCTGAGCAGAAGGTGGAGGGAGAATTAAAGTAGTCAGCGGTGTGGAATGAAAATAAGCACTCCTACACACAAGTATTGTTACTTGCAGTGTTTGTTAAATTTATTTGCAATGAGACAGCTTTCAACACTTAAAATGGATAAAGGAAAAGAAGTGGAAATATAACAGCAGCAAAATAATGGAAGAACAAAATAAATAGTGAAAGAGAAAACAGTGAGGATACAGTGATGTGAAAATGAAAGATCGGTGGCTGGGGAAGCAGAGAGCCAAGGGGAAGGTGAGGTTTGCTATTAATCTATTAGCCACTTCCAGTAGGATGCTACCCTACTGGGTCCCCAGGCCAACCAGCAGAGACAGGTCTTCAGGCTCTTATTACAGATAGTCCCCGACTTACAACAGTTCGTTTAGTGACCATTCAAAGTTACCACAGCATTGAAAAAAGTGACGTATAGCCATTTTTTTCACAGTTACGACTTTTCCAGCATCCCCATGATCATGTGATCAAAGTTCAGATGCTTGGCAAAAACTGGTTCGTATTTATGGCTGTCGCTGTGTCGCAAGGTCATGTGATCATCTTTTGCCATCTTCTGACAAGCAAAGTCAATGGGGGGAGCCAGATTCGCTTAACAACCAGGTTACTTGCTTACCGACTGCAGTGATTCACTTAATGACTGAGGCAAGAAAGGTCATAAAATGGGGCAAAATTCACATCACGAATGTCTCCCTTAACAACAGAAATTTTGGGCTCAATGGTAGTCATTGAGGATTTATGCATTTCTTAGATGCAGAACCCCACTATGTGTTGTATTCATGTATTACATCCAGAAAGGAATCCTTTTTTAAAATGTTTTCATGAGTTAAATACCACCCAGTTTTGCTGTAAACTCCGGTAAGCAATACATTAGTATAGCATTTCCAGATGTGTGGATATCAATTCCCAGAATTCTCCAGCCAGGATGCATTTTGAGAGTTGAAGTCTAAACATTTTGAAATTGCCAAAGTTGAGAAACGCTGTAGTGGAAGTTGAGAACTACTATGGTAGAACTACTGCAGTAGAAATCACTCCACGTGAGAAACACAGGAGTAGAAGTAAAGAGGTACTGTGGTAGAACACTGCAGTAGAAGTTGCCAAGGTTGAGAACCCCTGTAGAGAAACACTATTCATCCACTTCTCCTTTAACATTAGCTGTATTATAAACCTCTTTTTAGATACTTTCCCCCTTTCAAGCTCAAAAGTGCAAATAGCAACAGCAATAGCATTTACAGTATGCTTGTATACTGCCCTACGGCATATTACTGCATTCTCTTGGCAATTTAAAAGGTAGAAGCATTATTGGCTTATTGCCCCCAACAATCTGGATCCTTGTTTTACTGACCTCAGAAAGATGGAAGACTTAATCCACCTTGAGCCCTATCAGAATGAAACATAGGCTGTGGGCATAGTTTGCTCACAATACTGCACTTTAGTCACTGCGCCCCCAAGTGCTCCATTTTCTTTTACCCTTCTTCAACCAAATGTCTCCAAGATGTAATGGATTCTTATTCCCCCTTTCAGTGAATTATCTTGCAGAAAACATACACTTGGGTGGAAATCTGATTCTAGCATCTTATTTGACCAATAGCAAGAGTGCTTCTTTGAGTTTTTTGTCTTTCCCACTTACGTTCCATAGGATCAAAGATTTCACTTGGGACAAATACCCTGCGAAGCCTGTGGCCTCTTGCTATTGGTACTCATGTGCCTGCAAGCAACTTTCTTGCAGCCCACTTCACCCCTACCCCAACTGATTTTTTTTTAAGCCATATGGTTAAAATAAAAAAATAAATCTGGACTGAGAAACTTCCTTGACCACTAGGTGGAAACAAAGGGATATAGCAACTCCTAACCCTTTGCTTCCATCTAGTGGTCATCTAGTTACTTGGTTTATGCAGCCTAGATCAGGCAGTTCTAAATGTTTCAACCCACCCAAAATAAATCTAGGCTGAGCCTGATGCTAAACTGCAAAATGATTTGATTGCTATAAACTTGACATTTGGTATCAAAACAGTGGTTGTGAATTAAAGCCATGATTAAAACAAACAATCCTGGTTTAGAAAGATGGATGTCTGCAATTGCTATTACTCTCTTTTAAAGGATTAATCTGGCTGGGAACATAAACGCCTTACTGAACAGCAGTAATTTTGTCTTTGGTTTGTGGGCATGTTTCTTTGTCCCTTCCCATCCATGCTACTCTTTGGAATTGGGCGGCATCTAAATGAAATAAATACTTGCTGTGGCAAGTTAATTCAGTGATAATTACTGCTTTCCTCTCCCTTATTGTTTTTGCCACCTTCTCATTTTTAATTTTAAAAAAGTGCAAAGCCATTTATTTTTCTGGCAGGAGTCTTTAATATAAACCCACTGTGTCACTATGTTGTTTTTTTCATAAATGCAACAAGCCTGAGGAAAAAATGTTTCTGTCTGGAAGTGTACATGTATTTCTAGGGTCATAAGCAAGTTTATTCAGTAACAGTTCCTATTGTCAAAGCAACAAAGTTAAATCAGTAAAGCTCACTAGGCTCAAAATCAGCAAAAAGCAAGAAATAAATATATACAGTTCTTCAGTTATTGAATGTAATCCAGATTCAGTGACCTAATTCACAAATCGAGTTCAGCTATAATTTAACAATAATTTCTATACAAAAACACAATTGGCTATATTTGCTGAGACATAAAACAAAACAGTAACTCCTGAATGTCTGGTTTCATACCACCTGTTAAGTCAAAGCTAAACAAAGCACAAAATGGCTTTGTGTGTTGTGTGAATCAAGTTTGTGGGGAGCAATCTATAGAACATTAAGCTCTAAAGTAATTTTTTCAAACAATGGTTGGATTCACACTATAGTTTCAGAAATCACAACTGCTCTGGTTCACATATCCAGCTATCATAAATTGTAGCTCCCAGTGGCTGATTTCAGACAACCACACTAAGTCAAAAATCAAATCAGCCTTCTTAAGGTTTAATGTCATGCATCAGCCAGGCCTATCATGCATTAAAAGCAGGGCTCTTCAAACTTGGCCCTTTTATGATTTGTGGACTTCAACTCCCAAAATTCCACAGCCAGCGTGCCTGGCTGAGGAATTCTGGGAGTTGAAGTCCACAAATCATAAAACGGCCAAGTTCAAAGACCCCTGCTTAAAAGATTATTGACATCAATAGGACAAGGTAGCCATTAACGCAATGGGTCTCTTTTAAGCATTCAGCCTCTCTCATCCTGCTTCAACATTTTTCTTGACAACTAGAAACATGTCTAAACCAATTGCTGGTTGCATCCAACCATCATTCTTAGTTTTCTCAGGAGGGCCAATAGTGTGCTGTGGTTACACATATGGGAGGAAGTTAGAAAGCCACTTTGGTCTATGAGTTAAGGTGCTGATCTAGAAACTAGGAGATGGTGAGTTCTAGTCCTGCCTTAGGCATGAAAGCCAGCTGGATGACTTTGAGCCAATCACTCTCTTTCAGCCCAACCCACCTCACAGAATTGTTGTTATGGAGAAAATAGAAGAAGGGATTTTAGATATATTTGCTGCCTTGAGTTACTTACAAGTAATAAAGGCAGGATTAAAAATCAGATAAATAAATAAGCAAGCAAGCTCCAGAAAATGCAGCACAATTCAAAATCCAGCTTCATGTTTCACTGAAAACAATGGGGCACATTTGTACTGATGAAACTCCAGCTAATTCTTTCAGTCTAATTGTGAGTCCTAAAAACCTAGAGGCAATTTTGAATAGTTCCCATTTCATTTAATGTGCAGTTTTCAGACGTGATCCTGGGAATAATTCTACCCCTTCCCAGAAAGAAGTGAACAGGGAGTTTGGTCTCTGAGTAAGTTTTATTTGCAATTTGATAAAGAAGGGAAGATGTTTGGGGTGGCAGCTTCAGTCCACTGTTTCAATAAAGCTGCTCCTTCCCATTCGTTTGGCTGCCCTTCCCTTTGATCTGAAACAATTTAGCTGGCAGAATTGGCTGTTTATCAATGGGTGTTTGTTCAATAATGGAGCTATCTTCCACATCTTGCAAGATGGTTGGTTTTTTTTTGGTGTTCCTGAATTTGTTTTGTAGGAGGAAGAGAGGGCAAGAGAGGGCAGGACAAGTCTGAACAAGAGTATCAATGTTCAAAGATGATGTGGCGTAAGAGGAAACAGGCTGGCTAGAATGGAAAGTCCAAGCAAATGAAAAATCAAAACTGAAAAGGGAAGAGAAATCAAAGGTTTTAGGAATGATGACGAAAGTTTGGCAGGGAAAGTTAGTTGGAATGGAGAGGAGGAAGAGCCATGGGAAAATATGTGCCAGTTTGATAGTAACAGATCACGTGGAAATCCAGCCTAACAAAAAAACCGGGAAGACAAAGATGGGCAATATGGCAATGTAAGGAACTGTGTCTGATTTTACGAAGCAGCAGGAAGCCATCTGGAGCAAAGCCACAGGATTTGGGCGTAAAAAATCTGGCTGAGCTGGCCTTTTCTACTCGCAGGCAAGCTTCCCGTCAAAACTGGACAGACAAATGGCAAAAGCCTGAAGTGCACAGAGAGGGAATCGGTAATCCATGGTGAAGACATCAGAGGCCACCCGGCCAAACTGTAGCACGATGTAGTCAGCTGCAAACCAAGGAGAGGAAAGACCATTGAGGCAAAAGAAAACATCCCCCAAAACTTCATTTCATTACCCCTTATGCCTGCCTCTCTCCTAAGCCAGGGGTCTTCAAACTTGGCCCTTTTATGACTTGTGGACTTCAACTCCCAGAATTCCTCAGCCAGGCATGCTGGCTGAGGAATTCTGGGAGTTGAAGTCCACAAGTCATAGAAGGGCCAAGTTTGAAGACCCCTGTCCTAACCTAAGCCTTCCTCAAAAAAAAAAAAAAAAAAAAAAAAAAAAAAAAATCTCCAAGGGCTTCCTTCCCTGATGATTGAGCAGATCTAATTCTTCCCCAAGCTTATCCTGAGTTGTCTGTCTTTCAGTCTGCTCTTGGGGCTTGACGAAGAACAATATGGAAATCCTCACGCAGGACTGAGGCTGTGTTTGTAGCACTGGTTCACACCAAGATCAAACTTCTGTTATCAGAACTCTTATCTCAATTTAGAAAATAGGGCGGTGTGGTGGCTGAATGGTTAAGATGCTGGGCTTGTCGGCTGGAAAGCCGATAGCCCAGGATTGAGACCCAAGTGCCACGCAACAGGGTGAGCTCTCATCTTGCCCCAGCTCCTGCCAACCTGGCAGTTCAAAAGCATGCAAATGCAAATGGATAGACAGGTATCCGTTCGGTGGGAAGGGAACGACATTCTGTGACATCATGCTGGCCACATGACTGTGGAAATGTCTTTGCACAGCGCTGGCTCCATGTCCTTGAAATGGAGAGGAGCACTGCCCCCTAGTGTTGGCAATGACTAGGGGAGTAAAATCTACCTGTTAGAAAACCATTTGCCCAGCACATACGGAGGAAGAAAAATGTTCTAGATTGGATCAAAGCAACCAAGAGATGCCCAGTGGGAGAATCTAATGTTGAAAAGGATGATGCTGGTGCTTGTTCATATTCTGTTCATATTCTCCATCTACAGGAATCTAACATTTGTGACAGGAGATAGCTATCATGGCTAACTGTTGTTAATAACTTTACATCCCATGAATATCTTGTTTTCTTCTTGGGCTTTCTAAATTGGTGGCCACTGCTAAGTTCAGTGGAAGCAAATTTTACAATTTTAAGTATATATGATGAGAGTATCTGCCCTGAATCATCCACCATTAGATTTCACATAATAACTGCAATTTCCAGAACTATGTGAGAGGGCAAAACAATCTTCCAATCTATTTTCTTCCTCTACTGTATATCATGGAGAATTTTATACCCATTTCATGCTCATCAACTTTATTTGTCCTTCCAAGATATAAACATCTGAGGAAACTGCTTAATCCTTTGGTTATTTTGCTTGCCTTGATTTGCCTGTTTTTCAGCTCTGCCAAAATTCCTTTTGGTGATGGAGAGATGTAGCTATCACAACTACTTCCATATTCTAAATAGTTGGGGTTCTATTTCTTATTTACCTTTAAAAAAGAATTTGCCTTTTTTGTAACTGCTGTATGCTGATGTGTCTACTAAGTTAAACACCACAATCTATGATCCCATTCTTGGCCAACTCTTGCCAACTCTAATTTGATTCACATATCTGTAAATTTACAGAGTATTTGCTCCACTATACAAAACTATACATTACAGTTCCTTATGCTGTGCTCATGCTAACTGTTGCGGTATCCCTCTTTGTTCTAATCACCTTAAATAATGTCCTGTTTGTCAGCCAAACTGGCCACAATAGATTTATTTAGAAGTTAGTCTCACTAAATGGGACATCTGCTTGATAGCTAGCCTCAGTTTGCAAAACCTTCTGCACTCTCCTGAACCTTGCCCACTACTCACGATCGTCTTCTGAGATGATTTGGAAGTTCTTGACGGAAGCCTGTGTGACCCGCCCATGGAAGTTGAGTACGTAGGACTGGGTCTCCTCGTTCCAAGCAGGCACCTTGTTCTGGAGTTTGATCAGATTTTGCATATTCCGGTTCTGGTATCTCAACAGTAAGGTTTCATGTTCCTGTAGGCAGAGAAGTACAAGCATTATGGAGTTCCTATGTTGATGTTTTTTGTACAGAAATAGTAGCAATAAGAACCACTCACATTTTTAGGTTGGATGCAGATCCTCTCATTCTCTGAATTCATTCCAGGAATTATCACTGTCATTTTCCGTGGACCTCTGAAACCCAAAACATTGGTCTCCTGCAAGGGGGACAGGGATGGGAAGTAAGAAATCTACTGACTTCTGCTTTTAATTCAGAGTAACAGAATAACAGAGTTGGGAATGATCCTGGAGGTCTTCTATCCAGCTCCCTGCTCAAGCAGGAGACCCCATACCATTCCAGACAAGAGGCTGTCCAATCCCTTCTTAAAAGCCTCCAGCGATGGAGTACCCACAATCTCTGAAGGCAAGTCGTTCCACTGGTTAATTGTTCTCACTGTTAGGAGATTTCTCCTTAGTTCTAGACTGCTTCTCCTCTTGATTAGTTTCCATCCACTCCTTGTTTTGCCTATGGGTACTTTAGAGAATAGGTTGTCCCTCTCAAATACTGGAATACTGCTATCATGTTACTCCTGGTCCTTCTTTTCACTAGACTAGACATACCAATTCCTGCAGTTCTTCACATATTTTAGCCTTCAGCCCCTTAACACGTTTGTTGCTCTTCTCTGCACTCTTTCCCGAATCTCAACATCTTTTTTGTAATATGGTGAACAAAACTGGGTGCAGTATTCTATGTTTTTTAATCTTCAGTTCTGCCACTGATTTGTTGAGAAATGTTAATATTTGTTACAAATGGGAAGCATTCCTATTTAATCTTATGCAGTATTTTTGTACTGGGTAATTTATCTCCTGAGTTTAAAGTAGCCCATCATTTCCTAATAAAACAAAACTATCTTCCCATTTTTGGTGCTCAGTCTATCTGGGAAAGTCTGGAATTTACAGTCCCAAAGCACCTTGAAGGTACCAAGTTGATGAAATTAGCTTTAAAAGGGGCAGTATTTGAAATACTCTCTTTTTTTCTTGGTTAGAATAGAAAATCTCTGAAAAATATTATCGATTATCAATCAGCATACCCTTTTATTTTATCTGGATCACCTTAACAATATCAGCTACCTGATTTAACAAGTTCAAATGCTTTGTAGGTATTTCTGTCCCAAAGTATATTGGGCAAATTGTCAAAGGATATAAGAAAAATGCCAGATATTCTAATAATGATCAAAGGAAAGGCAGAAGAAACCAGAAGAAACTACAAAGACCAATTTTAGAGACGCAGAATTTATCAATTTTTGAGAAAATTATATATTTGGCTATCAGAAAATGCCACATTACCTACTGTTCCTTTGGGGAATAAAATCTTGGACAGTCTTAGTCAACACTAAAAATCTTTTCAAAAATAAAGTTTTTCAAGATCAGGTGATATAGGATAATTATTTTGTTTGTTCATTTTTTAATTTTCTTGTTACTTATTTTTTTCTGTTTATGATAAATTATTCATTTTTATTTTACATCATTTATTTTTTTTTTAAAGTGAATTCATTAAAACTCTCCGGTACCTAATAATAAAACAAAAATCAGAGTTCCTGAATCAAACTAATTGAGCTGACTGGCTTAGCACACTCTCTTTGGGCTGAGCATTTGTTGGCAAATAAAGGCAGTCCTCACTTTATGACCGCATTTGGGACCAAAACTTCTGTTGTTAAGCGAGGTGATTGTTAAATGAGTCACGCTCAATATTATGACATTTTTGCTCTGATTATTAAGAAAATCTCATGGTCATTAAGCAACCTGACTTTGTCAAATCTAGGTGCAAATGGTAATCACATGACCTGGAACACTGCAACCATCATAATACACGCCAGTTGCTAAGTGCCCAAATTCTGATCATGTGACTGCAAGGACACTGTGAGAACTGGTCATAAGTCACTTTTTTCAGAGTCATTTTAGCTTCAAATGGTTTTTAAATGAATACTTGTGAATTGAGGACTACCTGTATATAAGGAGTATATCAGTTCCCCACTTTGCCAACTCTGTGATACTTACATAGCAAATGGCAACTAACTCCTGCCGTAGGTGGGCAGTTTCTGGAACAAAAGGTTTCTTTTCTGGATTGATTCCATTGTCAAATACAGTGAACTTGGTCCCAAGCATGTTAGATCTGGAAAGCAAGCAAAAAAAGGGATGTTTACTTCCTTTAAGCAAGTGGTTCTCAACCTGTGGGTCGGGACTCCATTTGGGGTCGAACGACCATTTCACGGGGGTCGCCAAACAATGTAGTCCGCTATTTTTCTCCCTTTTCCTTAGCTGTGCCACTCCCTTTTATTCTATTGGCTTTTGAAAGCCAATAGAATAGACTCTCTTGAATAGAGTCTAATTCTATTGGCTTTCAAAAGCCAATAGGAATTGTCCAGGCTGTCTCTGCCCTGCTGAGCCCGCCAAAAGTCCCATTCTGCAAACGGTGCTGCACCAGTTGAGTAGTCCTCGACTTACGACCGGTTGGGGGTCGTGGCATTAAAAAGGTTGAGAACCACTGGTTTAAGTAGAGCTTCTTTGACTTCCGTTTGCTTGCAGCTAGGGCTAGAGAATGGAGTTAGCTAGCCTTTCCTCTGTTGGTTTCTGGGAGGCTTCTCCTGGACTGATCGGGGAGACTGCCATCTCTCCTAGATCCCTGGAAGTACCTTCCTTCATTGCCACCTCTTCCCCATTTAGGGTCCTCAAACAAGAAACTCAGCTGAAGAGCTCGGCATCCCGAGTCTCTCAGCCGATGACGCTGCTGGCCGGAACAGGAAGTCTAGTTTCTAGAATCTCTTAATGTACTCAATTTGCTTTTTATGTACTTTATGGGTGCTTCTCTGTAGTTTTCATAGTAGCTTTGGGTTCTTACTTAATTAACATGAGGGCGGGTCAGGAGGGATGATTGAAGAAAATATGGCAGGCTCTTAAGATGCTTAAAGCAGTGGTTCTCAACTTTTTTAATGCCGCGACCCCCAACCGGTCATAAGTCGAGGACTACTCAACCGGTCGTAAGTTGAGGACTACTCAACTGGTGCAGCACCATTTGCAGAATGGGACTTTTGGCGGGCTCAGCAGGGCAGAGACAGCCTGGACAATTCCTATTGGCTTTTGAAAGCCAATAGAATTAGACTCTATTCAAGAGAGTCTATTCTATTGGCTTTCAAAAACCAATAGAATAAAAGGGAGTAGCACAGCTAAGGAAAAGGGGGGAAAAATGGCAGACTGTGTTGTTTGGCGACCCCCGTGAAATGGTCGTTCGACCCCAAATGGGGTCCCAACCCACAGGTTGAGAACCACTGCTTTAAGGAGAAAAAAAGATTAGAAAACTGAAAAGTGATCCAACACTGATACCTACTGGTGGATGAGGAGCTATAAAGCTTTTGTTTGTGGCCTTCAAAATCTTAGTAAACACAGCTGCTGAGAGAAAGTGATATTTACAGAAACAATGGATGTTTTACAAGAGGAAATATATGCTGCAATCCATTCAAAGGACAATGATTTTAAACCACAAAGAAATACAAAACAACTTTGAAAGTATAAGCCAACTTATCTCCAATTTAAGTTCACTTCAAAAAAATCCTCAGAACACAGCAGAGAAAAATCAGAGGGAAAAGACTTAAAGATGGACTTTCACAAAAGAAGAGTATGATTTAATTCAAGTGGAAGGAAAGAAAACTTACACTTCAATATTACAAAACAAATTGGAAGGCAAGAGAAGGGATTTTAACGGAAAGAAGAGGACAAGTGCTCCGGAAAGAGATATTGATTTATTTTCTACATCCATAGGAGCACCTATGATCGTATGGGAAAACTTTTGGATCCAGCAAAGTATATTGATCAAGAAAGATTTTGGGCAAAGAAAAGAGATTAAGAAAAAAGATGATGGGACATACCAGAGAGAATATTTAAAAAAGAAACATGTGTTTGAATATGGTTAAAGAAATAGAAAAAATTTGAAACACACTATTCTAAGAGGGATGAAATGTTTTAGATACTTAAAAATGACTGAATTCAACAAAAGCATATATATATATATATATATATATATATATATATATGTAGGTTCAAGAAAAGCATATATATATATATATATATATGTGTGTGTGTGTGTATATATATATATGTATATGATATATATATTGAGATATATATATATATATATATATATATATATATATATATATATATATATATATGTAGGTCTTTGTTGTTCGGGTTTTCTCCCACGTAAAATTGGAAGTGTCTTGGCGACGTTTCGACGAAGTCCCATTCGTCATCTTCAGGCTGGTGCTTTCAGCTTCGTGCCTCGTCGAAACGTCGCCAGACCACTTCAATTTTACGTGGGAGAAAACCCGAACAACCAAAGACCTACATACAAATACCCGCGAAACGAAAACCTGCAGAAAACATATATATAATATTATATATATATATATATATATATAATATATATAATACAATGGTAGGTTCTTTGGTTGTTCGGGTTTTCTCCCAGCGTAATTGGAAGTGTCTTGCTACTTTCAACGAAGTCCCATTCGTCCTCTTCAGGCTGGTGTTTTCAGCTTCGTGCTTCGAGGAGCAATGTGTGGTCTTAGCTGTTTCTTCCTTTTAACTGCCAGTGGGGGTATGAACTGATTGGGTGGGAGCTTGGCTGTGTTCTGATTGGGTGGAGGTGTGTTCTGATTGGTTAGGGGCGTGGCTGTGCTCTGATTGGCTGGGGGGTTGGCTGTGCTCTGATTGGCTGGGGGAGTGTTATGTTTGGTTGTGCTCAGGTAGTCTGGTTGCAGAGGGGTTTAAGATTTTGGGCTGCCTTGCTATTTTTTGCTTCGCGTTTGTGGTCGTGCCTCATGTTCATGAGGGTGTCAGTTTGCTTCATGTATGGATTGGAGGGGTTTAAAGTGGCTAATGATGAAGCTCTGGTCTGGCTTCTGGTTTGTGGTCGTGCCTCATCATCGGTGTGGCTTTGGGTTTGCTTTTTGCGTGGATGTGTGGTGGTGACATCCTGTGTGGTTTTTGTGAGTGTGGGTCTGGTATCATTTTTTGTATTAGGGAGTCGTTTGTCAATAAGGGCGGGTTTCCAAATGGCTGGTAGGCGGGAGGTATCATCTCGCTTGTTCATGCTGTGTGGGCGTTTTTCTATCTCGATGGCTTCTCTGATTATTCTGTTATTAAAATGTTCACTTTTGGCAATGGTTCTGGTATTTTTAAAGTCAATTTCATGTCCTGTGGCTTTAAGGTGTTGGACCAGGGAAGATGTTGGTTCCTCTTTTTTGACTGAGTTCTTATGTTCTTCAATGCGTGCACTTATTCTTCTGTTGGTTTGTCCGATGTATGTGGTGGGACAAGTGGTGCATGGGATTTCGTATACTCCTTGATTTTCTAATTCAATTTTATCTTTGGGGTTTCTAAGGATGGTGGATATTTTTCTGTTTGTGCAGAATGCTGTTTTGATGTTGTGTTTATGGAGGATCTTACTGATTCTGTCTGTGGGGCCTTTTATGTATGGGAGGAGGGCTTTGCCGTTTTCTTGTTCTTCGTCTTGGATTTTAGTGGGGGTTTCTTTTTGGATTAGGTTTGTAATCTTATTTCTTTGGAATCCATTGGATGTTAGTACATTGGTGAGAGTGTGTATTTCGGTTTTTAGGTGTTGTTCGTCAGCTAAGCGTTTTGTTCTGGAGATGAGTGTCTTGGCTACAGAGTTGATCTGTGCTGGGTGGTGGTGTGAGAGAGCGTGCAGATAGCGGTTTGTGTGTGTTTTCTTCTGGTAGATGGTGTGTCCTAGTGAGCCATTGGATTTCTTGTAGACTAAGACATCTAGGAAGGGAAGTTGGTTGTTAGCTTCTGTTTCCATGGTGAACTGTATTTTGGGGTGTAGGCTGTTGAGGTGTGTGAGGAAGTTGTCCAGTTTTTCTTTCCCATGTGGCCAGATTATGAAGGTGTCGTCTACGTATCTGAGCCAGAGTTTGGGTTTGTGATCCGATTTTTCTAGAGCTTGGGTTTCAAAGTGTTCCATGTAGAGGTTGGCAATGACAGGTGAGAGGGGTGATCCCATGGGTGCTCCTTCTGTTTGTTTGTATTTTTGTCCATTATAGATGAAGTATGTGTTGGATAGGCAGTGGTTGGTCAGATCTAAGATGTGTTTGGGGGGGTTATATTTGTTTTGGATAGCTGTCAAGGCTTCTTTGATAGGCACTTGGGTGAAGAGGGATATGACATCGAAGCTCACTAGTAGGTCGCTGGGCTGTAAGTTTTGTTTCTTTATGATCTCTATAAACTGGAATGAGTTTTTTACGTGTGAGGTGATGGATTCTGCATAGGGCTGTAGTTGTTTGGCGAGAAATTTGGCTAGGTTTTGTAGAGGTGAGCCTATGGAGCTGACTATAGGTCTGAGTGGGGTTCCTTCCTTGTGTATCTTGGGGAGACCATAGAGTTTGGGGCATCTGGATGATTTCTCTCTGGGAATGATTCTTTGCTGGATCTCTTCGCTAATGGGGGAGGCTTTTATTTTGGATCTGGTGGTTTTTTCCAGGTAGGTGGTGGGATCTGTATTTAGGGGTTTGTATGTGGAGTCTTGGAGTAGGTTGGTTAATTTGGTTTGGTAGTCAGATGTGTTCATAACCACCGTGGCGTTGCCCTTGTCTGCTGGTAGGATTATTATGCTGGTGTCTTCTTTCAGGTTACATAGTGCTGTCTGTTCCTCTTTGGATAAGTTGCTTTTGGGTGGCTGCTGGTGCAGAGGATGTTGGTGATTTCGAGTCTGATTCTGTTAGCGTCGTCGGGGTTGATTTTGGTCAGGCTGGTTTCAACTCCACATATAATGGTTTCAGTGGGGATGTGTTTGGGAGTGACTGCAAAGTTGAATCCTTTGGAAAGGACATTGGTTTCGGCTTTGGTGAGGATCCTATCTGAGATGTTATGCACTGTTTGTTTCATGTGTGGCTGTGAGGGAGGAGGGGTTTGTTTCTGGCGTTCTTGTAGTCTTCGGAGTTTGTTGGTGTGTGTATCTGTCTTGAGGGTGGTCTGTGTTTCGGCTCTCCAGACGGCGAGTTGTTTGGATTTGTCCCAAAGTGCGGGGTGGATCTTGTTGCTGAGTTTGAGGTGGAGTGTGAGGAGATCTTTGTTAATTCGGTCTAGGAGGAATCT